GAGAGAGAGAGAAAGAGAGAGAGGAGGCCACGAAAAAGGCCGACCAGGGCCTCGCCGGGAGGAGAGTGAAACACACAGAATCATCGCTACCTGGCGCCGCCTTCAGCGACGACGACGACCGGGGCCGTGATGACGGCCGTGATGACGATCGTCGAGTTCGCCAGGAACGTCAGCCATCCGCCCTGCGAGCGCGTCCAACACCCAGCACGTGGTTCTGCGTTATTGTCTGGGCGCCACTCCACTGAGCGCATCCGGGGATGCAGTGAGGCTGCACTGGTACGTTCTTTTGTTTACCTTGCTTCTTTCTTTCTACACTTGTTTTTCTCGCTCCGCGCGTACCTCACACACACGATATATCTTGTTGGAATCATATGAAAACCCATCAGACTGATCCCTGTACATGAAAACGGTAAAAACAATTTTTATACTGATTAAATGTTTCGTACAGACGTGCATCGCGGAGGTGTGAAGATAATACGCGCCGCGTATATTATCTCGCTTTTAGTTCGAGATAGAATTGGGTGTCTGTAAATATAACGACTTGATTAAGAGGTTTATCATGTGTTTGTGCTACTGATAAAGACGGGTGATTAGAATGGTAAAAGGTTTAGCGAGATGTCTACCCTATCGTGTTGGCGCCGACTAGGATGTTATAGAAATCTCGATATTCAAGTGGATAACGTTTCATTCATAGATCTTGTTTTGCAGCGGAATTAAAAAATTTAATTTCAAGTCGTATGATATTGGCAATCGCATACAATTATCGAAACAATAATCTTATTATTTCAAAATCGTCGATATTGTCATATCGATAAAAGTCTAATCGCATGACTCAATGAATTATCTTTCGAACATCACAAACTACCCATTCTATAATACTTATTTTCTGTTGATTTAAAATCATTCACTGGCATCATGGTAGATCGCAGAGATGTTGCTAGTAAATAATTTTTATTTAGCAAGGGACTCGTAACTGACCATCACTTCGACATGTCTTCATCT